TGCGGAACCAAGTGCTGACAGCCTGTTTCTGTGTTAACTACTAGTTTAACGCAACGTTTTGGATCCACTAAGATAATAAAAGGATACTGATATACTATCAAACTTTATGGGATGTTAGTATGGTGTGGGTACATTTGCACTGGAATTCACAATAAGGGGAAAATGTTTAGGCCCTTTACAGAGGTTCACTGAACTGTTTTCAAGAATAAACTGTTAGACTATCCATCCATCCATCCATTTTCTAAACCGCTTAGTCCCAAACAGGGTTACGGGGGGCTGGAGCCAATCCCAGCCAGCTGCAGGCGAGAGGCAGGGTACACCCTGGACAGGGCGCCAGTCCATCGCCGGGCTAACTGTGGGAGGAAGCTGGAGCACCCGGAGAGAACCCACGCAAGCATGGGGAGAACATGCAAACTCCGCACAGAAAGGCCCTGGGTCGGCCGACTATATATTGTTTATATCAGAATATTTTTATATGCAAATATAATTTTCAAAATGTGGAACATTAACAAATAAATAAAAACAATACAACCATGCTGAAGATATTGTAACTGTGGGTAGAAGATTTTTTCCAGGATGGGGGCAACCTGTCCTACCCGTCTCTTCTGTTCATCTAGACTGCTTTGTGCCGCCTGGCTCAGGTGCTCCAGGACAGACGACATGTTGGCGAGGAGTTCCACAAGCTGAGAGGAGTGTTTCAGAAGACCTGTGGCAGACTCATTGGAAAGCTTGGCTGCCATGGTGTCATTTTCTTCCTCAACATTTTCTAAGGCTTCTTCAGGTGCTGTGTACACAAATATGAAAACATCAAGTCCAGTTATACAATGCATTAAGGAGGTGTTAGGACAGTAACAGAATGTTGGGATATTTATTGTAGGGTTGTTGTACTGGTTTGCTTTGGCTGTAATAAAATGGTACCTCAGTGTATTTATGTCTTCAACATGCTTGTAAATTTTCCCAGAAGTGGACCTGGGCATGGTAAGTACATGAAACTGACCTGAGGACTTAGAGAGCCCTACACAGAATCGTTTACATGATGGTTCCTGTGCATCTTCGTTTTTTAAGCCAGGTTTCAGTTCCATCTTGTCTGATGTCACCTTTTCCCTGTTGGATGAAGCTGGGCCTTCAGAGTACATGCTCTGGACTATGTTGGTCCCGCTGATGTCTGAAGTCTGTGTAGAAAGGACGTGGACTGGTGGTTGCTGGTTCACAAGGCTGGTGAGGATGTTTTTAAAGCCAACAGCCACGTCAAACATCTGCAGGTTGTCTGCAGCTGTGACAATGCGACTGACATTGTGTTTGCCCAGAGGCAACTTGCCGGTGTACACCATGTCCAGCAGACAGCTAAACTCCTGGGAGGAAACCACTGCTGTGTCGATGGAGATAGTGTCAGAGCCATCCAGGAGAGACCTGATAGGCATGAAGACAATTTCCTTTCTAAACTCTAAAAAAAAAACCATGAACGCTATTGTTTGATGTTTTATAGACTACAAGATTAGTTGAGAAAATTGTCAGCAATTAAACTGAGAATCCTGCTTGAGGTTTGCATTGATAAGACTTGAGACTTAACTTAGACCTGCCTTGAAAAAGGTAAGACTTGACTTGAGTCTTGTTTTGACAAGATTTGAAGCTTACTTTGATAAGAAAGTCTCCCTGGGACTTGATACAGTTTAAGAAACATTTAAATGCATACAACAAACAAGCATAAAGGGAAATGTTCAAATCCGCAAGAAGGGCTGTGATTCATTTGGTCACCATCCTGTCACCTGAGACTTACATATGAAACCTGACATCTTGCTCTCAAATATTTGTGAACTCACTTTAAAACTTTTACAAAATGATCTCAACTTGAACTTACTGTATTAGCCTTTTCTGGAAGCTTACAATTGCATCTCACATTCTTCTCAAAGCTAGCGAGTCAAGATTTGAAAAATTATTTTGTGAAGCTACTGTTTCCAAGACAAAGAATGATCTTTCATGCTTGACTTGAGACTCAGCTTGGCTTGAATGACTTAACATCAGCTTAACAAATTCCACCCTATCAAATATTTCATTTTAATATATCATCTGCAAAACTACTTCTACAGATCATCTTTGTGATTCTATGTTCACATTACCTGAAGAGCATGCTGGAGGCAGCCAGCACCAGTTTATGTGCACGATGAGGGCTGTCTCCCACCAGGATAGTGCAGTCACAGAAGTGGCCCTCTTTCCTCAGGGCCCACAACTGCTGCATCAGCTGGTTACTGTAGTTCGGTAGCTCCATCATTTTGTTGCTCTTCTTCTAATGGAGAAAACATTTCAAATTCAGTTTTTAAGTCATTTGCTAACTTGTACAGTATTGAAACTACCATGATCATTATTTGGATCTAGTTAGAACTGCACATACATAACAGAGTAGATGCCGAATTTATCATAAGGTTTGGCGTTCTGAATTAGGTTGATTAATACCACCAGTCTCCATATTCTATATTTTATTATAGGAACAGAAAGGAAATATGTGGGAACTGTAACTTACTTATGTAATGTGGACGTTTTGCTTATTGAACATATGTAGAATTGGAAAATGAATTACAAGAATCCTATAAAAATCTCAAGGAGCTAATATCCTTTGAGTCACGTGCTTGTAACAATAAACAAGATTAGTTTTTATATGAATAGAGCCTGGCATAGAAAAATGTGTGTCTGAGATACCATTTTTGTAATTAATAAACTACTTCGTATTTTACCTTCGCAACGTTACAAAACAAGGGGTCCACAGTTGCTGAATGTTTGCTAAGGTTACAAGTTTAAAATACTGATGTTCACAGGGTCCTCGGGCAATATTTAGCTACAGGTTCATACACAAGCTAGCAGGCTAGATGTATACATCACAAGCTTAATCTTGTGATACAGTATCGGTTATATGCTGAATAAACTGTTATCATCCGTCTCACATGCAACTCCCACTCATTGGATGTTTTTACCTTGGGTAATTCAAACGATGAGTCTCTTTATTTAAACTTCTTTGTTGAACAATTCTGAGCTGCGCAATAAAGCTTAGCTGTTTTGAAAATGGCAGCAGGCGGTACGACGATCAAATGGGGTTAGTTCCGGTGTTGCTTTAACTCTGTCCTCTTGTAAATCTGTCCAATGAAATAGTTCTATAAATTAATTGTGGATACCTTAAGAGCGGAGTTAAGGAAGCTATTTTTGTAAGTAAGTAAGTAAGTAAGTAAGTAAATAAATAAATAAAAAATAGAATCCTGTTTTGAGATCTCTGCCCAAACATGCCCCCCAGGACAATAGGCGTCGATGGACAGGGGAGGATTCAAAGACAGGTAACCACTCTCACTGATACTGGGCTATAACGAATCAGTCGTTAAGGGACATTGTTGGCCTTCAAATGACTGAAACCACACCGAGGGGGATAAATATCTCCGGCTCAACACCAGTCAGTCAGAACTGATGAAGCCTCTTGGATGAGAGGTGAAACGTCTTCGACCTAGAAATGTAGTCCAGTTGATTTTTTTCTGCCTTTTTTCAGATACCTTAAGAGATTTTTTAAATAAAATGTTTTTTATTGAATTCATCTTAGAACAAGTAGAACAAAAAAGCCAGGGTGTTTATAAAGTAAAAAAGAGAGGAAAATTTTACAAAAACAAAAAAATCCATACAATCATTTATATTTTTATGGCCTTCTTATTAGTGCAAACCTTTATGGTCTGCAGGTGTGTTCACATATGTTGTGGGAAACAAGATTTATTGGCTTTTTGTTTGCAAATTTACATTTGTGAATGTGATACTTTGCTAAGAACAATGTGCCACTGATAATCAGTGTTAGGTTACTTTTGAAATGTAATAGGTTACAGGTTAATAGGTTAACCTGTTAAAATTTAATAAGTAATGTAACTATTTTAATTATTTCAAAATAATGTCAAATTAATTGTATTTAATTTTCTTAAAAAAAAAGTTTTAAACTGCTCAATAAAGCTAAAAAGTCCTAACATAAATTTTAATCAGGCAGTGTAAACCTCACAACAGTACACAACACTTATTACTTTCCAACTCTTATTAAAGAGTCTTAAACATAACTTCAATTACATAATACAAACCCCATTTCCAGAACGGCTGGGACATTTTTCAAAATGGAATAAAATCTAAAGTCTGTGATTTGTTACTTCAGTTGAACCTTTATTTAACTGACAAAAATATAAAGAAAAGGTTTTCACTGTTTTCACTGACCAACTTAAAGGAAGGGCTGGCAGTTCTTTTCAGAAACACTTTTTTGTTACATAGCTTGAAATTCTCTTTTTATCTCAATGACAATGAATACATTAAATGCAGTGACAACATAGAGAAACAAATCTAGACCAGCTGATTTTTTCAAAGTTTTTTCAGCTTACTATGACCTGGATGACTGAGATTCTGCACAGATATAAAGAAACAAATCCAGCATCTCCAGCAGCAGCAGGATAAAACCTGACCAATAATTTTACTCGACCCAAGCAACACCATTGGATGGCCTACCTGCCTGGCAACCTACTTCCTACTTGGGTGCACCCTGTCCTTGCATGAGCCAAGAATCTCCTACAAGCACAGGCAGGCAGATGTGATACTACTGTTTTGATAGTATAGTGACTGGTGACTCAGCCTTACATGATGGTCGTGGGCTTACAACAGTCTTTAAGACCTCATGACTACAGCTAAAGCTAGTGAGCTATAGCAGAGAAGGACTCTTTTTACAGGCCGGGCCTTCCCTCGTAAGTTATATAGCCTTATAGGCAATGTTGTTGTTTTTGCTAGAAGTTGCAACCTCCATGCAATGTGACAAGTATGAGAGCAAGAAGACCGCAACACGGAACAGACTCCTTTTACATACAGCCACAGGTGGGGAAAATACCAACAGTAGTCAGCTCTAAGTGTATAGATAGGACTGTAATGCAGTTAACTGGGCATCAAAGGCCACATGCAGTGTTTGTGTTACCAAGACAGAATAAAGCCTGTGTTCTGAAACATGTTTAGCTGGCCTCCCTCTTCACTGCCAGAAAAGCCCGGACTTCTAAGACTAGTTACTGGCCACGAGCCAGGGCTAAAGCAGCATAGCCATGAACCAGAGGCCCCCAGCTACGGTTCAGGGCAGCAGATCTGGGCAGGTTACAACACAAATAAATAAAAAAAAAGTTGTATGCTGCAAGAAGTAAAACCAGTATTAACACTGGTGTGACTTTTGAACAATTGCAACAACTGAGAGAATGAAAGGGGCTGACATAAAACTTTCCTTTTTAATAAAGCTTATAGTTAGGGCTGGCTCAGGTGACCCTCAGCCTTCTCTTAGTGCTCTGAGTTTCTCTCCTCCTGTCTCTTTATGCATCTGTATGCCACCATAAATGTGTGTGTCCTCTCTCCCTGTACCTTTCTGCAGGTAGCCCTGGCTCTGGAGCTGTATGTTTCTGATGAACAGTTCTCAATCTGCCCAGTGTTTGATTGTTTGTTGTTGTATTTGTTAGGAGTTTTTCCTCCCCACTGTTGCCAAGTGCTGCTCAAGGGGGATTTCTTGGGTTTTCATCTATAATAATGATAACAGTAAGGTCTAGACCTTACTTTGTAAAGTGTCCTGAGATGACTTTTGTAGTGATTTGGCGCTATACAAATAAAACTAAATTGAAAAGTAACACAATGGTGGCTGTATTTCTGTTGGACAGGTAATTATACGTTTTGTTTTTTGTTGGGGGGCTTTGCTTTGTTATTTTCCTGAAATCTAAGTTGTACTTAGGCAGAACATGATGCAGTGCACATTGTATTTTGGAGGAGTGGCTTTGGAGAGAAGTCAGAACGAAAGGGTGGGGTTTCTTTGGTTGTCTACTTTCAATATCGAGCTTGCTCTTGTTGGTTTTTCCAGGAATTGCATTTTGTAAATATGAACAAATTCAGAATTTACCTGAACATGCCTGCAACACACACTAAAAAGGACAGAGGCTAAATAAGACTGAAAAGTTGTGAGAATATTCCAGTAACACTGTTTTGGAAGATTCCAAAATTAGCAGGTTAACAGCCAGCAAGATCATCGGTGCCCCTCTGCCTTCCCTTACGGCAGGAGTGTCAAACTCAAATACACAGTGGGCCAAAATTAAAAACTGACAAAGTTGCGGGCCAGACTCTATATTTATTGAAATATTGAAAAAAATTGAGCATGTTTTCCCTTCTCTCCAGATATATGATAAACTTTTTCATATGAAGACAAACAAGTTGTTTAAACACTGAATTTGGAACAAGCAAAGCTCAATATTATAAATACATGAGAAATCAAATTTCAAATAAAAAAAGACATCAGTGGCTTTCGTTTCTTATTGTTTTGTGAACATTTTCTGCCGTGAAACCAGACTTGTTTTCATCTCCTCTACCTTCTGGAGCTTCTGCTTCACGTCCAGGTCCATGTACTTGCCTTGGTGTTTCATTTCATAGTGTCTTCTTATGTTATATTCTTTCGTTACAACCATGTTGGCTCCGCACACAAAGTAAACAGGTTTTCCATCTTTCGTTTGGCCATTTTTTTTGGAGAGGTGGATTAAATGTGCCCGAGGTGACTGGTAGCATGAGGTTGCTAATGAATGTCAACAGAAGGTGTTTGTGGGTCTTGACTGACGTGACAATGCACTAGCAAAGCATTCTGGGATTTGCAGTATTAGCGGTGCATGCGATATATACTGGTGGGCCAGCTCTAATAAATATTTGAAATTAGCTCGCGGGCCAAATATACTTACACCGTGGGGCAGATTTGGCCCGTGAGCCTGAGTTTGACATATATGCCTTACGGACATCTTCAGCACCGGCAGAGCCATCAGCATTGCTGAGGACACCTCCCACCCCGCACACTCCCACTTCAGACTCCTGCCTTCAGGGAGAAGGTATGGAGTGTTCAGGCCCACTCCACCAGACTTACAGCTTCATCTCAGGCTGTGAGGATGCTGAACACTGTTCACTACCTCCCCCCCTCTGCCCCTGGACCTGCCCCTATCTGCTGCTGTTGGTCATTTGCAGTACTGTCCATATATACCTCATATGCTATTTGCACCTCATCACCAATGCCCTCGTGATGCTGAACCATCTGACAATCTCCTATTAATGTTTTGCACTACTGTCACTGACTGTACTCGGTTTTGAGTCACAGCTTATTGGCTGTACCGTTTAGATTTCTCCTAATTACATTAATCCAGTTCTTATTCTATTTTTATTCTACTTTAGTTCCTAGATGTTATGGAACCCAATACTAGGTGAGAGAGAAATGGTGTTTCGATTTTCTGTATGTCCTGCACATATGGTGAACTGACAATACAATCCTTGAACCTACTTGGTAACAAGTGATTGTTTAAAAGGAGCATCCACCAAATGTTTTTTTGATCCTGAGCCTTTTTGATCCAGGATGGCCCATGGCTCACCACTATGGGCCAAACAGAGAATTGTCAGTTAAAAATGAATATTTATCAAAACAAGATCTCAAATAATTTAGGTCTTTCACCATCTACAGTCAATAATATTGTGAAAATATTCAGGGAGTCCAGGGAAGTCTCAGTGTATAAAGGCCAAGGACAAAAACCACTATTGAATGTGCATGACCTTTGAGCCCTCAGGAGGCATTGCATGAAAAACTGCCATGTTACCATTATGAATATAACCACATGGGCTCAGGAAGACTTTGGAAAGCTGTTGACACTTAACACAGTCCATCGCTGCATCCAGAAATGCAACCTGAAACTCTGTTATCCAAGGAGGTAGCTGTACATCAAACGATGGTAGCGGTGCTGTGTTCTGCTGGTTTAACATGCAGTTTTTATGGAAAAAGATGGCCCATCCACTTTTGGATTGGCCCACCCAAAATACAATTTCTGTCCATGCCACTGGCTCTGAGACAAAAATAGTTGTGGGCCTCTAGAGAAACCCACCCAACCACTGCCACCCTTCTGTCCTGTCATCTTCA